TTGATCTTGATACGAAAATTTTAAATAATTGTAATACCCGTAGTTAAATAAAAAAAAAATACGTGCATTTTAAACGGGTAGGTAACATTAAGATACTTATACATACTATCTTAAGTCATGCCGGCTACCAAGTTTAAATCAATTTAAGTAAGTACATTAAAATCGGTCTTCTGCATAAAAAAAAACCAAAAATATTGAAGAACATTATAAAACAAATTAAATTTATACATTTATACATTTCTTGAGACATATTTTAGGATATGGAGTCATCATAAAAAATAGTTATATTTTTTGTAAAAATAAAAGTTAAAATTCATTATATTTAATGTTAAAATTGGGGTAACTTATTAAAATAATCCTTCAGTACTCACATATCCCAAACTATGTATGTTTATGTGAACTACATACCTGCTTATATAGTAAAAAATCCCTGAGATCGTAATTGTTACTAAAAACAGGAATATGTTTCAATCTAGGTGAAATACTAAAATCTACATAAAATTTGGCAATAAATGGAAGGGGATTAATGCGAGAGAAACATTTAAATATAATTTGCAGGTGAGATTTTAAAAATTGGGCTCACTATCGAACTTGGTTAGAGTATTGATGATTTACATATTCGTACTCTACCATCAGTACCGAGGTATGACCTTTCCCAATAAAAACTTGAACATAATCTACATTTTATTTTTAATTTTTATTTTCACTCGCATACTGCGCCAGTGCTCTATAGGAACTGGGCATTATGAATCCCAGACTGTGTGTGATGTTCCGAAAAACAGAATATTTTTATTAATAACTAAGAAACTTGTTTTGATACATCTGAAATCTTGCATGAATACAGTGTTATGTATAATATATAATTTAAATAGTAACTTTACAACAAATCCTATAGATAATCGGAAATTTGTTATCTAAAGATCTTTATAATAATTATTCAATATAAAATTGGAAGAAAACAGAATCCTAAACACTAAGGTAATCGTGACTAGATCGAGACATCAAGAAATATTAATGTAATAATTGAAGTGTAATTTACGAAGATTATGGTAATCCCCCTAGGATGGCCCTAAGGCTATAAAGATTATAATAGACATTGGTATTAAGTATAAATTGTGTTTCTAAATCCTAATATTCCCGCGAACTAAGTATAGTAGAACCTAATTTAAGGCGTAATTTATAAAATAACTTCACTCTTTAAATATTACATAATAAAATAATATATTTTAGCACTTTTCTAAGCCTTTTAGAAATTATGGAAGAACTTTTGAAGATCCAAATTAATCAAGCCAAAAGGGATTGCGAGAAATTCTGGTAAAAGTGATTGGAGAATAAGCGCTTTTAAGATTCTAACCAGATCCTTTTTCTGAGAAAAGGTTTTTGAAAAGAAATGGCCTTCCAAAGATCAAAGGAGCATTATGAGTGGATTATAATCCATAATAAACTGAAGATCTTCTTGTGGACAAAATTATTGTAAATCTCTTTCCTTCGAACGTATCCAATATAGTGCAACTGATGGATAAAGGCGTCTGCAGACGCATTAAAAAGTTATAAGCGCCTCTTAAAATATATAAAAGACGAAGATCGTGTAAATCCTGTCGTGGTTAGATCCTGACCATGACAGAATATTCTGTTATCTGAATAGTCTTGTTTTTAGTTGGAAAATGGACGTCGAAGACCTATCTGTTGTTGTATACTTACACCATTCTTATCAGTGAGATCGATAAAAGGGTTATTTGCCATTTTTTAAAGATTTGCATAAACATGATTGTTTTTTAATTACATAAGAAAGTATTTAGAGTTTCGATGACTTGTCAGATAAAACCAAAGATAGATTAATGAAGAACCTTTACAAAGCAACCTATGTTCAGTTTTCACCTGCTTAATCACTATTGGTCGTAATTGAAGTGGTGGGATGAGGGGCGTGCGTTATTTCTGGTCACAAGAATTGTTGGACACGGTCAAAGTCACACAATCAGGTTCCGACTAACGAAACGCACTTTATCCAGTGTGTGAGAATCTAGTATTATGTAATATATAAAAAATTGCTCATCTTTACCATGCAATTTACGCATAACAGTTCAACAAATCAAGAGAATCATAATTTATACAAATTATTTGTAAGTGTTTAGAGGATAAGATTAATGTTTATACGACACAGAACATTTTAACTTTCATTACAATAATTACTATTAAGTAAGATATATTTTTATCACAGTTTATGCAATGAGAGGCACATTATTTGACAAATTGTTGATTATTGGCACATTAGACATGTCTTCCAAAACGAGTTGTAATGACTAAATAATATTGTCAGAAAAAGTTATTCAGGCTTAGTATTTTAAAAGTCAATGTTTCTCCTACGATTGTATCACATAATTTCTACTTATATCTGGTCAATTTTCTACTGACTTGTTTGTTTCTTATTAATTTCATTCTTACTCATCTAATGTTTTATACTGAATTATTTCTTTTATCTCGCATATATACTTAATTTTCTTATATTTTGCTTTATCAGCATTTCATTTATTTGTTCAGTTGGTATTTTATATAAGAATTTTTTTTACATTTGCAGTAATTACTTATATGTACCAGTTTCAAATGGTTTTACCGAGAAGGATCAATGAATGAGTTTCATTGAGACGTGAAACCGTATCTCCCATCGAGTTAGCGGTGTTAATGGTAAAATAAAGGTATCGGCATGGCTCGCAACAAAGGATACAATATAATAAATATGTGTATAAGACGGAAGGCAACCGTATATACGTATTTCTGACTATTGGTCGTCTTCAGTACGGTGCAGCCAAGTTAGAAAAGGAGCATGTTAACTTGGGAAAGGATCACTACAGGCGCAATGCGACCAACTTGTAGTAACAGTATTGAAAACTCAAGAGGTTTCCAGAGTAATTGCTGCTGTGAAAACCTCGTGTAGTTAGAAATTAATTTGCTTTTTTTATAAAAAGCAGTAGTACTCCATCGCTCTACTAGACACTACGTTTATAGGTAATGGATTTTGGGAACAGCTATGACCTTGACCATTTCACATAAACTTGTGTACTAAATAGGTATAATGCATAGCTCTTGTCAAAATCCAATACATTAATAATATAATTACAGATCTTCGATTCTAAAATATTGTAAAATACTTTAAAGAGTATGAGTAAGAAAAGAGATATTTAGTTATATTCTTTGTGTCATGTTCAAGGTCATAGCTGTTCCCAAAATCCATTACCTATACTTCACCATATCTACCCAAAGCCTTCCTCCAATACGCCTTTCTTAATAGTTTCCTATGTGCGAGTGATATAGGCAGAGGGCAGTTTCCCATATTCTTCTTTCTTCTTGTATGGTTGTTACATCATTTATCCAATAAGCTCATTGGGCGTTAGTTGAAATACGATCGAAATATTTAGCGAAATTTTTTGGTATTTTTGATTTTTTTTTTAATATTAGTTACAAAATATGTTACTCTATAGAGTGTTTTTACAAGTTTCTCACAAACTTGTGCTTGATCAATGCACTCGATCAACTATAAAAAAACTCTTGTGATAAAACTAAATATTTTATCACAATTGAAAACAAAAAAAATGGCGAGGAGAATTAAACATGCAATTTTAAGACTAGTATAAGGAGACTATCCAACTATGTACACAAAAATTATTATAATGTTATCTGTCTCTCACTAACTGTTTTTATGTGTGTTGTGTGTGTAAAAGTGTAGAAGAAGGCCACGTATCTAATGAATGAATGATAAAAAACATGTTGCTATCAAATTTAACTTCTAAATGTTAAATGAATAATTTTTATAATCTATAATTTAATAATTTTTATAATTTTTTATAAATATAATCTTTTATACTAAAAAATATGCTGCCGTTATCACGAAAAATTAATAAAAGCTAATTAAGAGTGGCTCCTTCTTCCGATCATTGCGTCCGACCGTGATTTGAACCAATATTACACCCGAGTGCTAAATCACATGTTATCCATATACATTTTTTACTTTTTTATTCGGTATGTTCTGTGTTGTATTAACAATAATTTACATATGCGTGATTTGTGCTATTAATAATAATTCCTTTGTAATTAAAAATAAATGCTCACAAATCAATTTAAAATATCTGAACATAAATTAGTAAATAATCCAAATATACTTTATTTACAACACAATAGAATTATGTGTCAGCACACATTGCAAAATATAGTACATGTTATTTGATATTTACAATATAACACCCATGCAAAATTTAGCCTTGTAGTTAGAGTGGGATTAATCAAATATACTTTTACCTAATAAATAAATGTGTATGCAGTAATTAAAATGAATTAAGCTTGATGTAATATATACATTTAAATTTTGTATCAATTAATATATTACAAGAAAATCACATAGTTAATCAACAATTAAAGGATGAGATATGTCAGATCATCAGCCTCTCTCAATCCACTGCTGGACATAGGCCTCCCCTGTTTGTCTCAAAAGTTTGTATCCAGTTTTTTGTTGTCTTTCGTAAGTCGTCTTGCCATCTTGTTGGTGGTCTTCCTCTGCTACGTTTATCGGCTCTTGGTCTCCATTCAACTAGTTTGCGAGTCCATCTTCCGTCCTTCATTCTGGCAACGTGTCCAGCCCATTTCCATTTTAAGTTACATATGTCAGATCTGACACAAGATTTTAAGGCAAAGATCGTTTCAATAAGATTGTCCCTATTGTGACCACCCTCAAAATGTGTAGTAGTCACTATGGACTCTTGGCCTACAAGATCTGGGCCAAGCATGTCAACTTTGAAATGACATAACTAATAACAAAATCTTTGATTATACACATTTTTACATAATTTTTACAAACAATCCTTTTTTGAGAACGATTTCCGGCGTGGAAATCAAAACGTCAAATAGTAGTTAATTAAAAATGTGATTTTCATTACAATCACAACCAATAATTGTGGCTTAATCCCATAAAAACATAATAGTTAATCCCATAAAAAAATAATATTCAATTTGAGTTTATTTCCAACTTTTATTTCATAGAGGTAGTACAGTTTTTCGAGCCCTAATTTTATATAATTTAAGTTAATGGTATAAGTATTAATATTTGAAGTATATCATTATGAAAGATAAAATATTATGAGACAAAGTTTTAACTACACATACCGGTATATTTAAAGGAACAGAGTTGAATTTTACGAAATGATTGGAATATCTTTTAATAGCAGTCTGTGTAGTGTAAATCAAGACTGCCATGAAATTCTACTATTATTGTTTAATTTCTGTTTTAATTTGTTTTTATTTTGTTTATAATTACCTAAAATGTGGTCCTAAAAACCTAAAACCTATAAACCTAAAGTGGTCTACTCTACACTGATGTTGCCATGTTTGTTAAATCGAAATCAACGATCCATCGCAATGTTATAAGTTGTAGAGGAACTGTAGAATATGTCAGAGTATGATAAAAAGGCAGAAAATGGGCCAAAAAATATAAAATATATCTTATATCTGTGTTCCTTTAAATTTGCATGTATGTTTATTATGTAAACTATAACAATGCTTCATATTTTCTATTAGAGATTCAATATTTTCTTTTATTTTCAGCATACTCCAATCTTTTTAGGATTATTTAATATCTCACTATTACCAGAAAAAATATAGAATTACTCAACCTTTGTTTGCTCTGTTTATTGCAATTGAATTGTTACCAATGAATTTGTTACTGATACTTTTGGTACTTATAAACATGTTCTAGATATTATATTAAACAAAGGCCATTGGAATCTGCTTAGATAAATGAAATTGGGGATATATTTTGCAATTGATTTGGTAGCAAATTTGAGACATTTGTGAACATTATTCAGTGTACAATAACTATAGCAGATTATCAAACGTCACAATTACTAAAATCCGTTAAAATAGACCGTTACAAATTATTATATAATGTTTATGTAGTTTTCGTACCATAGATCAACAAAAAAAAATTATAGCAGAGTTTCTAATTAAAAAACTTTAGTTATTTACGACTAAATATGTACGACACGAGTATTGAAACAGTCAACAACAATGAGTTGAGGTAGAAAGCACAGCCTGAGCAGGGTTTACTAGCATAGCTAAAGAAGTCTTCGTTGAGTTTTTTGAAGCCACCATCTGCTGGGCAGTTCAGTGCCAAGGCTTCAGCGAAACATTTTTTGACTACTCCATAATCACTAAAACAAAAAAATAAATTGTAGAATTAAAATAACATATTTTACTTTTGTTACAAAACTAAAATACAACAATACATAGTGTGTTAAGTTTTAAATTAGATATACACACTATAAATGGCAACAATACACGCCGTCGACTTTCCACGATAATTTGCCATTATGCAGTGGTTGTTTAAAGCAATAAGGGCGTAGATTTTTAAAGTATTTTTGTAAACAACATATCTGTCTATACGCCCGCAGAAAAGGTTCAAATAATAAAATAGTTTCATGGTGGTAATTTTTGACAATAGTGTGTAGATTTATTTTCTGTGTTTTTGAGGGGAGACCAATTGCTAGTGTACAGTCAGTTCATAATATTATTAAAAATTTTGAGAGTTGTTATTGCACAAAATGACAATGCTGTCAATGCTCAAGAAGTGTCACCAGAAAGAGTTGAGGATAGAGAATAGATTTAACACGTTCAAATAGAAGCATTGCTAG